ATAAACCCTTTCTGTAACACTTCTTGGATTTTTGATGAAAGCTGAGACACAAATATGTCCATTTCATACTGGATTTTTTTTTTCACCAAATCTTTTGGATTATAAAGTAAACTTTAATACTGATTTTTTTTTTCTTTTTCCTCTTTGCTCAGTAATTTACATTTTAGAAACAGGTCAAGGAACACACATAGTTTGCGTTCAGACTGTTTTTCTCTGGCATGTCTTCTGGCTTCTAAGAGAAATATTGTTACTGAACTGTAGATGTCAGTTGTGCCAATGCACACATACACTCCCTTTCCACATTGTTTCCCATGACTCTGAAAGTTCAAAAGCTCTCTAGTTGCTTAAAAAAATCCTACTTGATATAAAAGCACTTGGTATCTAGCTTTTCTTTATTTCTTGTGTAAAGTAAGTTTGTTACACTGAGAAGGTTCCAAATATACTTTATGTGAAATTGAAATAAGCCAAGCATGATTTTAGATACGAAAGTTTCTTACTCAGCAGACTTAATGTGATAAACCAACAGACGCTTTCCTGTGCTTTCAAGTATGTTTTGATATATGCCTCCTACAGTTTTTTAAACATGAAAAATTGCTATATATGAAGTTCTACTGACTTGGAAAATTAAAATCAAGGTCTATCCTTTAAGATAACTCTGATGTATTCCCTAAGGAAGGAAGTTTTATGCATAAAACTTGTCTCAAAACCTAGCATTCCTGTGCATGAGCAGCAGAGCTCTGAGACTGTATTCACCTAGAGAAATATTCAATTCTTTGCAGGGTAGACATCTATTATTTGCATGTCTTGACACTTTTGTATTCTAAACCACACTACACAGCCTTTTTCTGATATTTGCAACTTTATAAATGTTAAGTAAAAGAAAAGTCTTACCTTTTAATCCTGTGCTGTTGGGTTTCTGTTTTATCCTTTACAGAGGAACTACTGAGGTTAAGCTTCAGTATAATCCGAAAAACATTGTTTCGAATATTTGCCTAAGTAATGCGTCTTGAGTGGCATTCCATTAAGTCTTTTCTGCATGCCTTCTGCTTCTAGTTCTTATTTAGTTGTCCAAGGGTTCATCTTCAGGAGCGGTGGTGTGAGAGAGAAGCTGACTTCTGCAACTGCAGTAGACAGGCAAATTGATTACTTTCTACTTGGGGAATCTGGTTCTGCCTGTTTGAAACCCAGCCTTGCTGAGAGGCGGATCACTGCTGGGGCTGCCCAGTAGTAGGAAGTGTCTAGGAGCAGCTCCCGAGAGAGAGACCTCGTAAGCTGGAAGTGGAGCACTGCCTACCTATGAAGCACAAGTGTAAGCGCAGGGATTGCTTTCATCTACACTGAAGCACGAAGGGAAAAGGAGGCAAGGGTAGGTCATGGATCTGTTAATGCACTTACCTGAAAAGGAAAAAAAAAAAACCAGCAAAATAATACCCTTTATCGCGGTATCTTAAAAATATTTTAACTCCATTTGTAAGTTTGACCTAAAGGCTGAAGCGGGCAGGGGTATACAGCAGGAAATGTATGACCTGTGCAGAACCACTTCAGTTCTTGGGGAGCATAAGGTGGAGACAGCTATTTGGATATGCTATTTTTCCGGGTACAGCACCTCAGCTGTATTTTTTGAATATAGTCAGTATTGCAACAGAAGTGCTGTGGAGAAAATGGAAGCTAATTGACCAAAAAGACAAATCTTACACCTTTCAAGGTATTCGAGGTTAAAAATCAGCAGCTACTGCAAGTTATAGGACATTAGTGTCACACTCACACTGAGCTATGCAGCTTACCAACATTTCATTCTGCTTCAGCTGTGCTGTGTAGAACGTGCAGTCCAATAACATTGTAAATAGTGGTTATTTAATCTTCAGGTGAGAAAGGAATAGGCTGTGGCAACAAACTCTGTGTTCAGAAATATTTTCTTCAATTAGATCTAGATGAACTGACAGCACTGCTGAAAATTCCTTTTTGAGACTAAGGGGCAGTGCAGTAGGATTTTCAGACTGTAACAAAGATAGGTTATGTGGAAAAAAAAGAAAAGTGGAGATAATTGTTTCCAGTCTTTTAATTACTTTCCATAGCTTTCTTGAATTTCATTTCAGTTTTTTCCTGGTTTAGCTTTGGCCCTATTTCATAGCTAAATACTGAGAGGACGTTACTTGTTCTAGTTGGCTGGTGAGAAGGAATAGTGCCAGAGAATCATAAACATACTGAAAATGTTATAGGTTCTGTATATGCATTGAACAACCGTTAGGGAATCTCTGCACTAAATCATACAAAGTACTGTAGAAGTACTCTTTTTGTTAACAGGTGGGAAAGGATTATCAAAGCAGGGACAGGGAGGAGAGCCTTATGCCCCTTCTAGCTCTGCAGGCAAGTCAGCAAAGTTTTGATTATCAGTAGGATGTAGAGGGTTTTATCCCCAAGATGATGATAAATAAGTGAACCTTTTGGACCACAGGTAGTTAAGACTGATGAAGATTGAGAGAGAATGAACATTTGAGAAGCTGTCTTTCTCTGGTCTCCTTCATAAACTCTTCTTGAAAAGAAAGATTAGATAGTGAATCACAGTGCATGAGGTTAGTGGTGACAAGGAGTGGTTTTTTGAGCTGTAGATGCAACACAGCTTTTTTTTTTTAATGTCTCTTTGAAGCTAAAAACTCTTGGGAATAAAATGTTTGAGAATTCAGGCTCTCATACTGCGATTCTGGAAAATAGGAAAGAAGAAGTTTTTAGATCAAACTGAAGTGCTGACAAATTCTGCTAACTATGGAGTGAATTCTTACCACTGTTCCTTCTCAGGAAGGTGTATGATAAATCCAAAGTACAAGCTTTGGCCTAACATTCCCTACAAGCCACTTGAGTTAATGATGATGACTTGAGATTTCAAAAGAAAGGCTATGTTGTCTGGTTCCAAAACCATCTGCCATTACGTTCATGGAAGCCAAATATTTGTGATTATATCCAGAAAGTTGAATCAGAGTTCTCATGTAACGGAAGGGTTGCTAAATTTCAGAACAACATTATTTTAGTGGAATTCCTTTTAATAAAGAGAGGCAAGTGCAATTTTCAGACTCCCTAATGCTATGCAATACTCCTCTTTGCAGCTTTTGCACTTAGCTTGGATAATTACTGTTGTAGAAAGCGCAAAGTAAGATTACATTCCAAAATGGTCTACACAGGTTCAAAGCAAACAGTACCAGTTTTCATGGTGAAAAGTAATAACTTTGAACAGTAGTGTATTGCTTGTAAAATATAATTGAAATTTAAGATATTATCTTTTCATAGTTCCTAGAGTTTTACGATACTAGCTTTTAATTGAAGGCAGATAATAGGAGAGGAAAGACTATATATCCTATTGTCACAAAGAATTTTCATGGAAGATGGGAACAAGTCTTTTTTGACTTGGCCTCTTTCGTGAAGTTTAGTTTATTCCTTATAAAACTCTCAGACCCTCAAGAAACAGGAATGATTTCCTATGATTTTTTTGTCATTTTTGTTTGTTTAAAATATATATTTTGGATTTCTATCTAAATTTCTCCATCTGTTCTTAAAATCTGCTTGTAAGTGAACTCAGAAAATCACTGGCCAACCTGATTGCAAGTTTACTTTTTTAAGTTTTTTCTAGGGAATATATCTGCCGGGCTAATACCTTCCTAAATACTTAGGTAAACTTACCTTGTTAATCCATCCTGCTTTTTTGGATGTTGACCAATTTAAATCCATTTTAATTGAGAAATTGAGGTCTTGAGGACAGTCAAGTCCTGAGAGTGTCATGAAAATTATTACTTGGATAGCTAAGAGAAATCCCCATGAAAGAAAAGATGTTGCCTTTCTGTGAGTTGTGGTTCCATACGGGTTTTGGCAGTTACCCTTGCTTTTTCTTACATGTAGTTTGTGATGTACCTTTTAGGGCTTTAGATTGGAAGTTTTTCCAGTTTTATTTCATATACAGAGGAGTTTTCATTGAAACATTAAAAAATTAGTCTTGATAAAAGGAAGTAACTTTCATTTCTGTTGTTAGAACATGGTATCACCAGGAGTTTGCTGAGGTGAAGAACTTAAGCATTTGGGATATTTACAATTCTGGACAGCCCTCTTATCTTTGTAGTAGTTAATGATAACACTGTTGAAAGGAACATAACAGCCTCTGCTTCAGGGTGTATGTCCATATTAAAGTATGAAATAATGAATAACATACTTTGGGTGGTAAATCAGATCTGGTTTTAAAAAACACACATTAGTGGCTGTAGTGTTGGATGCAGCTACAGAGTATATGGAAGACAAATCTGATCAGGAACAACAGTCCCCCCAAAACTTATGATGTATATTTTCTGGAGTCCTCTTTGCTACCATATCCCTAAGAAATAAGACAATGATAGCACTTAATCTTACAGAACACTTATTTTGTAAGCTACGTGTTTCATACTTTTTTTTTTGCTTCCCTCTATTTAATAATAAAGTGTGGGTTTTTAGAGCTATTCATGCACCTACCTCCCTCTGAGCTTTAAGTTTTACTTATGAAGAGCAAGTTCAAAACATTACATATCAAATCGTTTGGCATCAGAGAGAAATTCTGGATAGTAGGCAAGTGCAAGATGATCATAAAGCAGTATTATGCACATGGTTTGGGAAGTTGCAAAGTTCTGAACTTTGATGTATAGACTCAAACAGATTGTACTGTGTAGCTTTAGATGTAGAACAGTACAGTCTTTTACATCCATCTTAGCTGTAAAATATAATTTCTTTGTCTATTAATAATTAATAAATAATTCCTAAGCACCTTAGTAATTATTTAATGTAAGTATCTGCAGAAAATATTGCATGGACTAATGTTTTTTAAGTAGAAAGAACAATTCAGAATTAAAGCTGAAACAAGGCATTTTCTCTTTACTTTCTCCTTCTTCCCCTTCTTCTTCCTACTTTTGTCAAAAACTTAGCTTTTGGAGATCGGAAAGTCTCTCTAGTGTCAGGGTGCTAAGTGTTTCTTTTGATCTTTTCTTTAGGCTGGCAAATAAGCAGGACAGAGAAGGAGCTCTGTCAGAAGCAGATGTAATCGAGTCCTTATCTCTGGAAAAGCTTGTCAATGAACACAAGTGTCTATGTCAAATTGTAAGTATATTTTACGATGCTTCATTTTCTAATATATATTTAAAGCTTGCAATAAGGTGGAAGATTGTGCTGCATAGCATAAAACTGAAACTAAAACCCTGCAATCCCAGTGAAGATACAGTACCTGTATCTGTTTTGCAAGCAATTCTACTGTTCACCTTGATGTTCTGCATCTGGGTTGGTTGAAGAAATCTTTATAACTAGGATCCTCAAAGTGTACCTGCTGGTCCATTCTGAAACCATGTAAGAATAATTAGTTACTGATGTGGTTTAAAACTTGCTTAATTGGACAGCAAGTTTAGTATTCCACTTTTTAAAAAAGAAGCAGGAAATGGAATTTGCCTATGTTGACATTCAAGAAGGATCACTATTCAGATATGATGTTTGTCTCATTTCTGTTCATAGCTAAAACCATCATTTAGTCTGAGTCACCATCTGGCAAACAGCAAGAACTTAATCTAATTCCTAGGGCATCTAATTCCCAGCACAGCTGTCACCAAAGAACACTGTTAGAGCTAGTTGCTAGTTAATATTTGTCCTAAAATAACTACATTTCAGAGGTAGTATTCATAGTCATGTTAAAAAAAAATATCATAAAAAAGTGGTGGGGGGGGGAGGGGTTAAACCAGAAATCTGTATGAAAGCTACTTAATATTGGTCAATATTTCAGATAATTTATCCAAATCAGTAGTCCCTGAAGTTTTCTTTAAGCCTTTGCTTTAATTGACTAGTTTGTTAGTTAACCATTTGTGGGCTTTACTTTTATAATCTTTTTCTAATTGCAATAAGAAACATTTTAAAAGATAATGAAAGTTACGCTGTTATTAACCAGAATTAGAAGGCAATTTTGGAAAACTATTCCAGATGGTATTTGGGGTTTAAAATTTAAAACAAACTTTTAATTCCCTAAGGAGATTTGCAAAATTCATAGGGTAATACATATTGCTATTATTTTCTTTAGAAAGTTGAGTTGTAGCAGGGCATAGCTATGTTCATTATGTCAGGACTCTTTGACTCCGTTTCTTCGGTCAGTGTACTTTGCACTATGCGTGCGTAGCAATCCTAAAAATAAAAATTGCAAATTCACCCTTTTTTTCCAAGGGACTTCTGTGACAAAAATATTTTCTTGCAAAACATTATCAGTATAAAAGACCTGAAAGATTCTAGTGTATATTTCCAGTACTTTAGAATTACTTAATTTATGACATGTTCCAGTTCTTATTCTCCATTTATATCTTGGGTGTAATCAATAAAGAAACTAGATCTCTTACTCTCAGTCATTTTAGCGGAAAGCAGCAGAGAGTACTACATACTCAAATGGGCAGCTTCTTTACGAGGCTCATTAAAGGTGAACATGGTCCCAAGTTATTTCAATGTGATGACTCGTGGTGAATTTAAACAGGAGTGTTGTGAAACAAGATTTAAGTAAAATTAGGCAAGTACCAAACCCCCTTTTTTTTTTGTTCTTATTCTTTTAATTAGTTTTCTTCTGGATCTTCAAATTTCCCCACAAAATATTAAAGCAAATGGAAGGAGTCATTTGTCTCACTGTCGCACAGTGTCAGTGAGAGTGACCTTCCTCTTTTTCTTTTTTAACGTGTCTGTATATTCTATATTTCTAAATTTCTGTATTTTATAACTAAACTACAGCAACAATAATCTTGGTGCAAACCAAGAATAAAATTGCCCCAGTGCTGTCTGTTGTTTTATCTTAGTTTTCTCCCTGATTAGGTTCTGCTAGAGAGTATTGTAGTGTTCCATAGTGAACAACACTCATATTTGAACCTTAATTTAGCAAAGTAGGAATGTATTAAAATGCAAACTAGGTTTGGCACTCTGGGGGGACATAACAAGTCAGAATTGTTTCTTTTTTCTGCTGTAAATCCTACATACCTTAGCTGACTTTTAAGCAGATGGCACTTAGGTGCCATTTAAATGCTTGTCAAATGAAGACATATACACAGAGAATTTTTTAGGTGTTAACATTGGAGAGTTAGTCTTTTTTAATCTTCCTTCAATCATGAACACAAATTCTGAAGACAAATAGTGTTGAAATATCATTTCTTCATGTCAAATACATAGCTGGATCTACTCAATTATTATTCAGAGAACAGTTTAAGACCCATACAGTGCTCCAAAACATGCTGGAAAATAGTTCTGAAGAGATCTTGAGAGGTCATCTAGTCCTTCTCCATGTTCTAAGCTAGAATCAAGTTATATCTCTTTTGTTCCAATTAAAGCCCATTATACTTGTCCTCCTGACAATGAACATGAAGAGAAAATTATTCTTTTCCTGATTGCATACATATTTGGGGTTGATAAGTTATATTTCTATAGAGATGCACAGATATGGATGTGTATAGAAACAGGCATGTAAATATACATATATACACATAGCAGGTGTATATGTAACAGCTGTGTGTATATGCAAGAGGTGTATATATATATATGTCTAGAGATAGATATGCAAACATGTTTTTCTGTGCAGTATTCAAGTATTTTTGAAATGGGATGGGAAATAATGGAATTTGGTGGAACTATTGTGATTTGTATCTTGGCAAAAAAAGCACCTAAATTTATAGAATACCTAAATGCAAATTTATTTCCCATACTTCTTAGTGTTTTGCAAGCTTCACAGTAAACAGTAATTGTTTGGCTGATTTCTTGTTTTCAGTCAAGAAAAGTGATCTGAAATGCAAATAATTTTCCCCTCCTTGTCCTTATATTTACAGGAACCTTGCTCAGCTATCATGGGCTGTGGGAAAAAAATTGATAAATCAATAAAAAAGGGTTTATACTGGCTTCTACATATCATAGCAAAAGATTTTGATGCCTTAAATGAGCGCATCCAAAGAGACACTACAGAACAAAAAGCATATGAAGAACAAAAGAAACTAGAACGAGCTGAACGAGTGAGAAGGATACGAGAAGAAAGGTATTCTCTCTGTAATTTTTCCTACCTCCCCTTCCTCCCTTTCTATACGATACTTGATTCATTCCTGTATATAAACCTTATGGGAACCAAGCTATCAAGGATTTAAAGCTTGCAAGCCATATTAAAAGTATGGACCTGAATGCTAGAGCCTTTCTTTAAGAACTACAAGTTTTTGCCTGGTTCATCCCCTTTATTTTATTCGCTCTATGCTGGAAATGTACTGTGAATGAGAATTCCAAGGTAGTCGTGGAATAAATTTGGCCTTGCTAATATACATTCTCAGGAGGCTAACCTAAAATATAAATCCTGTCATTTAATCTGAAGTTACCTTCAAGTGTGTTCTAAAATAAACTTTTATTAAGTTAGACTTTGTAACCCATATGTGAATATCAAAGACTAGATGTGAAACTTTATTCAACACTGTGCTTAATAAACTTCAGGATATCCAGCGGGCGAGGCATGGAGAGACTTAAGCTGATGCAGGGAGGGGAAGCAGGGCAAGTGATTTATTACTTCCCTTCAAAGCTCTTTGTGGTCATCATCAGCCCACCATAGTTCCTACTAGAGACTGATGTGAATCATTTTACTGGCGCATTCTTAAAAAATTTGCTGAGCATCCCTGTCCCCCCGTCTGCCCTATATATGCAGAGATTTGCAAGTCTCAGTTACTTTGAGAAGTAACTCTGAAGCTACTGTGAAGTATCTCAGCTTGTGGTCTTGCTGATTTGGTTTACTTCAGCAAGTAAATTACTTGCACATTTTAAACACCTGGAATTTGACACGGTCTTCATACATATTTCACAAATGTATACAAAATTCACATACTGTTAGTCTGCTAGATGTCTCTGCATAGACAAAACCCTGTGACCATGTTGGTTTGTTTTGGGTTTATGCCATGTTGAGAGGTGTAGTGAGGACTGACTTTGAAACATGTCTCAAAGAGATTGTCTGATAATATGGGCATTTTCCATATATCCTGTTCTTGCTCAGTGATCTTGATTGTATCTGTTCACTGGAAGAATTGGTTGGGTCTGAATTGGATTAAAAGCTTAAAAGTTCTGCTTAACTTCTTGTGTCTTAGAGGAAAGCTAACTAGTAACTTCTGCTGGTTTTACCTGTAGCTGAGGGCTTGTCTCAGATACGAGATGGCATTAACTCTCATTTTGCTGTTTTGCATCAAATTGATTTCTTACTGTAAGAAACAGGTTAATCTTGATTCAAGTGTAGTTCTGTTTCATTCTCGGTTTTAATAATTCCCCAGACTGCTTTTTGTTCAGATTTGCTTCCCTGAATGTTTTCTGACAGTGCATTTCCTCCACAATGTGACTTGCGATCATCTTGTTCCAAATGGAAGACCAGAGAGAGGGGTAGTGCCAGTAAGTTTTAACATAGCACTGGCGGTTCCTTCCAAGCAGTAAGGTTTCATAGGTAGATCGGTGACCTCCTTTTCAGTCCCATTGGTGCCTCTGAACAACAGGGTTACTTCATCTCTCAGTACTTGCAGCTGTAAAGTAGGTGAAACAGTGACTTCGTATGCACAGGTGCCATCAGGTCGAGTGATGAAAAGTATTTGATGAGCATATACTTTATTAATATACTATTTAATACATAGTAGTTTAATATTTCTTACATAGAGATCTGGCACATAAAAAATAACTAGTGCTGGTGCAACGACACTGTACTGAGCATTATGTGTCTTTCTGAACTTTCCCGAGTCTAGTTGAAGTAAATATGATTCCCTAATTGTTACTACATGAACTGAACAGTCCGGTACCAGTTCTCTCTTATGTATATTAAGAAGAATCTAGAATTATGAGAAGTGGAGGTGTATTAAAAATAGAAGAATAGGGTTTAGATAGTCTGGTTTCCCACCACATAGGGGGTTTTTTATTTATTTTTTTTTTAAGAAATTGAATACCGTGAAACAATTGTTATAAAGGATTACCAGTGTGAAAATTTCAGCATGAAGATTTCAGCATACTGTTGAATAATCAAACCCTTCCAGTTACAGATGTATGCTGTCACATATCCTGTCCTCAGAAACTGCTTCTACTTCCTGAAGTGCTGATTGAACGTTCTGGCACTTAGCAGCATGTGTTTCTACCTCTGCCATAACATATCCTTGTGCTTTCTTGATGTTAGCCTGTCATTGTGATTTCTGTAGAATGTTTTTCAAAATACAGAAGTATATTGTAAAAATCAGCTGGCATAAACTGGAGGATGAGTTAGGTGACCTAGTAAGTGTTCTCTATTATGTAAAATTTATGGCTTGGCTTCTTCATAATTCTTTGTTCATCCCCCCTTCTTTCCACTCCCACCCCCCCAAAAAAAACCCCAAACCAATCCCAAAACACTAAAACAACAACAACGTAAACCCAACAACAAAGAGAAAGAGAAGAAGGAAGAAGTGTACCTGATGAAGAAGACCCGGAGCCTGGGAACTCTGAAAACCCCTTCCAACCTATATCTGCTGTAATCTCTGAGGTATGAGAATATGTGGAAATCTGGATCGTTTTAGACCTACCACTAACAAATGTCTGAGAGGTAATGAGAAAAATGGTTTATTTAAAAGAATTGTTGTAAGTCTGTATGCACAGAACTATTTTTTTTTTTTTTTAATCTTGGCCGTCTTGTTTTGTGTGCATTGAATCAGTGCTTTCATGTTAAGAAAATCCCCTATTATTGATGTGGGGACAAAAAGTTTTGTAGACACATGTCCTGGTTTCAGCTGGGATAGAGTTACTTTTCTTCTTAGTAGCTGGTACAGTGTGTTTTGGATTTAGTGTGAGAATAATGTTGATAACACACTAATGTTTCGGTTGTTACTCAGTAGCACTCACCCTAAGTTAAGGATTTTTCTGTTTCCCATGCTCTGCCAGCAAGCAGGTGTACAAGAAGCTAGGAGGGAGCATGGCCAGGATAGCTGACCCGAACTAGCCAAAGGGATATTCCATACCATAGAACATCATGCTCAGTATATAAACTGGGGGGAGTTGGTCAGGAGGGTTGGATCACTGCTCGGGCATCAGTCAGCAGGTGGTGAGCAATTGCATTGTGCATAATTTGTCTTTTCTTTTTTTTTGTTTTTCTTTTTTTTTCTTTTTTTAGATGTTATATTATTATATTATTGTTATTATTGTTTTTATTGTTGTTATTATTATTACGTTTTATTTTACTTTAGTTATTAAATCATTCTTATGTCAACCCATAAGGTTTGGGGTTTTTTTTTCTCCTGATTCTGTCCCCCATCCTGCTGGGGTGGGAGGAGTGAGCGAGCAGCTGTGTGGTGCCTAGTTACTGGCTGGGCTTAAACCGTGACAACACAGTAAAATAAAGGTATTGTAAACAGATGGCTGAACACATTTCCTAATTAAACTATTGGATATTCAGGCGTGGAAAATATTCAAGGTCTATTAGTTTCTTGTAAAGTGTTTTAGTGATGTAGTGAGTCATATAAAATCTCCCTAATTCAGCTATTTATATTTCTGAGCATAACCTGTTTTCTCTTGAAAACTGGGACAATTGAGAAGCTTCCTTAGCTTTGAAATATGGAAAGCATATTAATATATAAAGTTTCCTTAACCTTTGTTTCTGAGTTCAGGTTGTTCTTATTTATTGTACTGTATCTTTTTATTCAGTTGGCTTGAGATAACATAATCTCAAGAAACACATAAACTCTCAGAGACTTTTCCAGTAATTCAAACGTTTGCTTCTCTCCAGGAGAAAAGCACCCATGTCCATATATCTTGTAAAGTCAGCTACATGCACAATAATACACTTTATAATAACATGCAGAGTAAAGAAGAGAAGGGCATAGCTGCGAGTATTGCAAAGATGGTGATTTAGTGATACAGAACCTGTGAAACAGCCTATCATTGAGTCTGTATGACACAACTGGTATTTGTCCAAATCATGGTAGCACTTTCGGGATACTTAAGCTCTGTGCATGTGTATTATGTTTTAAATAAAACATTGGAAAAAAAAAAGATAATTGAAGAGGAAGAAATTAGGAGTTATCTAACCTTTTGCTCAGGACTGTTGATGGTGATTTGTATAGCTAGCATTCATTTTGTCATATAACCAAAAAGAAAGCAAGAAAACAGGCTATAAACCTCAAGGTCGTTTCTTTTGCTGTTAATCTTCCCACACACACACACTTCCTCTGGACAGGATATTTGAAATTTAATTTTTTCACCTATTTAAAAATATTTTCTATGCTAGATGTGGGACAGAAAAATATTTTAGGAATATTTTCATTTTAAAAATAACCTTCCTGTCTTATTAGTCAGTATACAGCATTAGAATTTGTAAAAAAAAAGAAAAATTCTTTTACTTTTTGTTAGAATGAAAAACAAATTGAAAAGGAAAAGAAGCGGCAAAGGTTGGAGACTGAAAAGGCTACGATTGTCCCTAAATCGCAAACAGAACAGGAACAAAAGGATGCCCAGCACTTATCAAGTAGCAGCAGCCAAAACACAAATGATAGTAGACTAGAAACATGCAATTCTACAACTACACAGCTTTTGCAGCATGAAGAAGAGAATGAGCAGCAAGTCACAGAATGCCTTGACTCAGGTAAAACTGCTTCCTTTTAATGTGTCATTTCACATAGTTTTTCCCTCTGTCTGTATTATTTTTCATGATACCACATGTCAATCTATTGGAAACATAAAAATGCACCATTAGATTATTGTATTAGAAAATCTGCTTTGAAAAAGTGTGTGTGTGTTAGTGTGACTGATACTGTAGCTGAAACTAGGTTCATTTTTATCATAATCAAATATGTGGTCCACTTTCCATCAGTACCAAGCTAAGTTGAATTTCTTTATTAAAATATTGAGTTTACTTATATTTTATGCTTACAGTTTATTTTCTATATGAAAATGTTGTGTGAATTTTACATTTCACATCATTTTGTCTATAAGTTTGTACTGAAAACGCTGATGTATCTCACCCCAACAATTGTATTAGATGATCTAAGATATTCTCTGAATATAACTGTAGGATATGTAATGCTTTCTTTCTGTTTGGTATAGATAACAGTAAGAAAAAAAATAAAAAACCAAAATTAAAAAGGGGCCACAGAGTAGAACCTGTTAATACAGAGGACACTGTTACCAAAAATCCTACACCACCACCAGCTCTTCCACCAGGTAAGTGTACTAACAAACAATAATCGATGTCTCAATTTGTGGTTAATAATTCTTTAAAATATTCATTTGTGAATGTTGAAACTGGAAAGGTCTTCATACAGAGATATGCTACTAAACCTTACTCTCTAGGAAATCTTTGATGCAGTTCCCCACTGCATGATATGAACTTTCAGCAGTATTGATTTGATCTAGTCCGTGGGGGAGGATGTTGTTATTTTCACAGAAAAAAGAGTCAGAAACTTGACTATTCATTGATGAAAAAGTGATTAAAAATATCAATATTTTTAACAGTAAATCAGTCTATTTTTAAAGTATTTCATCATTATTCACCATATGTACAATATATTACATAGTTTCGGCATTTCTAAATGCTTTGATTACTTCCCAAAATAACTGGTTTCCATACCTTTCATCAGAATCAAGTGCAGTCGTGGCGTGTTTTGACTGTCTTTGTTTTCCTTTAGTTGGCTGGGGAACTCCCAAATTTAATAGACTTCGAAAACTTGAGCCTCTTGGTGAAACACATCATGCTGGTAATTGAAAATATTTTGGGTTTTGTACTTTTTTTAAAGCATTCTCCATTGTTCATTCACTTCTACATTCATTTCATTCTTCATCTTTTTTTAATTTCTTAATGCCAATTTTCACTGACAAAAAGCTAACACTTTTGCTTAGTAGAAAGCATCTTTTTGATTTTTCAAGTCTTATTTCTTTTTTTACTAAAAAGAATAAGTTCTCTCAGATTCCCTTATAAAGTTTAAAGTGGCATAGGATATCAGAAGCTATTAATTGATCTGAAGTTATTTGCACAGCAGCATGCACCTAAATATTATAAAGTGCCATATAACAAAAAGTATCGGGACCAGTTACTTTAAGAGTCCAAACACACGCTGCATTCAAAGTTAAAATTTCAAAGTATATTTCCATTGTCCATATGTAGACAGTTCATCATTATCTGATGCAGTGGGGACGGGAGTTGGGTTACCTGGCTACTGGAAGAAGTCTGAGGTACTCAGCAGAGAGGACACTGCAGAAAGACCTAAGCAGGACTGCATTGATCCATCAGGGCTTATTAATTTGCCATCCATAGTGGCTTCTCCACATCCAGGCTGGTTCTGCACTAAGCTGCCTGTTTGTTTCCACACTGATCTTATGATCTGATCTGCAAGTGGTAATCGCTTCACAATACTGAGCCCAAATGGGCCCCAGGTATTTCTGTAGTTCTGTGAACGATAGCCCACATCCCGATGAACTTGCTGTGTGTAAGCTGACTGCTTGTGTCGCCTCTTGAGATAGTCTACAATTTCTTCTACCCACTGCTACTGTTTCCATATGGTTTTAAAAGCATAGTCTGCTAAGACTTTTGTCATTGATTTGGGGGTGTTTTCTTGTGAGAAGGAAAGCTAAAGACATGTGGGCACCTCTGAATTAAGTGCATTACGTTAGCAACTCCAAATGAGAGACTGCAATCCCAGCTATGATGAAAAGCTCCAACATAAATTTGATTGCAGAAGTAGTGAGACTTCCAACTGAAAACTAGGTTATTGGTCTGCAAGGAGAGGTGTCAGTGATAAAGCTTGGGATCTGCTGCTTTACCTGAAGAGCCGGTGTCCCTGCAAGTTCACAAACTGATAGGAAAAGTAAGTTTAATAACTGGATATGTCAAGGTGTAGTAGGCAGATTCTTGATTTCTCTCTTGAATAATGACTATTTTCTATTTTTGGAAGACTATGGAAGATTTTCATGTTTTTCATATGCTCATATTGCAGCTTTTTCTCAGTTTTAGATGATAATGTCTTTATTTTTCTTACATTTTTGTTTTTTAAATTTTGAAAAGCGAAGTGAATATGGAGACATCTGGAGTAATATGAGAGGATAATAACCAAACTAAAGCAATGGCAACACTTATACAAATTGAACAAAGAGAACATTAATTGAGGAACTTCTAGAGAAAGGAGCTCAGTGTGGCTGTAGTGATCCTTGAGCTTAACCCTGACTTGAACTGATTGTACTACTATCATGTAGTACAGCACCATGTGGACATACCTGCTGAAGTTCTGAAGGAACAGAACATGAAGCTTCTCTGCCAAAGAATCAAAAGATGCCTGAAGGGCAATTAAAATCTCTAAAACCTAGATATTTATTCTTTACAGGAGCATAATTCATGTGCATAAAATGTAATTTGTAGTCTTAATCATAAAACCATCTTGCTCTTTTTTTTTAAAGGCATATAGAGAGAAGGCGGCAAGAAAGAAAAGCCAGATGAAGAGGTAGGGAGGGGAAGAAAGGGAAGAGGTGGTACTCAATTTTTATCTGTGCCTAAGGGAGGTGTTGCATTTTGTAGCAAGAGCATGGGTGGGACAAAGAGAAAAAAAAAAGGTTAAGCTAGGTTCCCTACTCACAGGTGTGTAAGTTAGTAACCTGAGATCTATGTTAATTTAGTCCATTTGTAAAATAAGGATAATAATGAAAGTATTTTGGAATCTAACAATGGAAAAGATGTTGGTAAGGGAATGATCTCTTGACCAGAGGTGAAACCGTTGAGATCAGAGGAAACTTGGAGTGCTCAGAACTTTGCAGCTGAATTCAAGACATTGCCTGCTCTTTGCTGAGATTTGTTTTTTTCAGGAATTTTGAGACACTCACAAGATTCACACAGATACAGAAAACCCTGAGAAAGCAAGAAAACATCTGTCAGGAAAGCACTGTTTGTAAATGAAAAAAGATCTTCAAACGCATGGTCCAGCATTGTCAAACCTTTAGTTACGTCCTGATATCAAAGAGCATTAATTAATTACTTTGCTTAAAGCAGTTGTTTTTTTACTCAGACCATTTGAGAGCCATAGAATCATGTAGGCTGGAAAAGACCCTTAAAATCATTGAGTTCAACCGTTAACCTAACACTACCAAGTCCATCTTGCACCAAATTTAGCTTGCCATCTGTCCTTGCCCGTTTTCTGTCACGCAACAGTGTTTCTCAATGAGTTTTTATATATTTTGCAGATGGAGAACCTGCTCCTGCTTGGAAACTCACTCGAGTTTTCCTAAGACCAGTGGAGCCTAACTTTGATCAATTTTTTAGAATATCCCCTGAATTGTGTCTTTCTGAAAACCAACTTCTTTTTGGCTGTCCCTTCAGCAGAAAAATAAATCCAGTTTGGTTTTGTTTTTTTTTTTCACCCCCCAGCTTTGCCCAAAATCCACTGCAAAGGTGGTTTTAAAAGTTTTTCAGGCATTCAACTTATGTGAAATAAAAAGGCCTACTTTCCATATTGGTTTCATGATTAATTGATATTAAATGGCTTGAAGGTACAATTTGCAGTGAAAGCTTAAAGTACTTTTTTTATTTATTTCCTTTAGCTGGGACTTTACTAAGGCTTTCTTTTCTGTGGGGTTTTTTTTGATTCTCTGAAGTGCACTGTTTTCTATAACAATACTGCTTTCTATTGAACAATTTGTTTTGACAAATTGTTATTGGCCAAGTGGCTCAAATGTCTTTGTATGTGGGGCAAATGAGCACCTACCTTCACGTAGATCAGAGTGAAAAACCTCAATTCCAGTAGGATGCCCAGGAGATGCTTTTGTCAGGACTCTAGGTAAAACTGTTAGTGTCCATAAGAGCAAGGAAAGAAAAAAGTATTTAACAGTCTGCTTTTAAAAGTTTAAGGAGCCTGGTTATACATAGAGGTTATTGTCAGGAGTACTCTCAAATTCTATGTCCAAGAGTGTATCAATGAAACATTTGATAGCTCCTCAATGTAAGTCAATCCCCTTAAGATTCAAAACAGGTATGACTTTTTGTAGTGTTCATTTCTGCTAGTCCCTGGAAAAAACACAGGAACAGGTGCTTCTCAGTATTCCCATGCATTCTACTACAGGTCTTTGTCAGTTAGGATAGCAGTTATTCATTTGGTTTTGTCTTAAAAATAATTTTTTTGGAAGTGTCACAGATATGTGGTAGACCTTGCTGCTGAAATATATAAAATTAGTGTATTGCGAGGTTTAAACAACCTCCAAAGGTCTGGTTTTTAATGCTAGGTGTTCTCAGAGACATAAATCTGTCTTAATGATTTAATGTGCAAACTGAAAAATTTAAATGTTGGTAAGCAAGCTATTTAGTATACATATTGAGTCATTTTTGTCCCATTCTTAGCAGGGAACATTATGTTGGATGTTTAGGCAGAGTTAACAGGCAGTAGAGTCAATTATATAAATCTTTAATTATACATTTATTTTCACTAAAAACTGCAATTTTTCCAGTCATGCTAATGATTCTAGCACAACACTAGGTAATGAGTGTCTATTTATTGTCACTGGAGGACACATTTGCAAGAATGATAAATCTCTCTCATTATAGGAAGTAAAATTGTCTGCCAATCCTAAAGTCATCTGCCAGACCTCAAGAAACTAATAAAAATATCCATTGTACAGGTTTCCATTTACCCTATAATCATTTATTGCAGTTTTGTTGCTTTTCACATGCTGCTGTAACACTGAATTAGCTCTATTAAAATAAAAAAATTTACAACAATAATATAAAAGTGTTGTTATTTGACTGATTAAATGTGAGGATAACGAAAACCTTGATCCTACAGGCTGGTACAAATATTCTTAATGTTATCCAGCTTGCTTGCTTTTATTAATTTTAGCTCAGGAATGCAATTTTAACACAAGTTGTTGCATATGTAGAACAAGTGGAATACATTTTTCTTGGAAAATTATGATTAAAGCTGAATTTTGTGTTGGCAGGCTATCAAGGCTTTGTTGGGAAGGATCCTGGTTGTCTGTAGAAGCAAAACTGAGATCTGAATGCTTCAAAAAGCTGCTTTTATTTTTTCTTGATTTCTACCTGTTTCCTCTTACCATCTTTCATGACATTATTTTGCTTGTGAAATTCTTTGCATGTACCAGTCTACATGGTTTTTTTTCTTTTATATCAATTACAAATGTTTGAGAATACTTGTTAGTCTCTGCTGGTGTACTTAATTTTGTCTTTACTACTTTAAACTCCGTTACTGCCAAAAGGAAATGTTGCACTTTTATCTAAAAATTCTTAATATAGTTCTTTTAGGAAGTTAGTATGGCTTTCAACATAGATGCCGTGCATAGATGGTCCCAAAATTTTGGATACTGCATAGCAAACTATTGCAATACACACTTGACTACAGCAACATTCAGATTTTGATACTTCATTTTTTCATTTGTTAATTGCACACTTTGGATGTCTCATTTCCTCTTTTTAGGGATGTTTACAGATCACCTTTGGGCTTAATCTTGCAAATGCTGATGCATGTATAACAAAACGTAATTAAAATCTGTTTTGGCCAATACACCTCCAGACACTGATTAGCACTGTCTGAAAGTTGCTTGTAGGAATTAGCTCTAAACTTGTGGGCTACCTAGCTTTCATTAAGGAAGCAAGAATTTACCTTATTTAAAAATCCTTTAAGCAAGGGAGATGGTAAATGACAGATTAATGTGTTTTTCTTCTCTGGTATTTCTTATACAGATTTCTATGGAAAGCCTCTGCCCCCGCTGACTATACGCCAAAGACCCAACAGTGAGACCCATGATGTCATTGCTTAACTGGATCACAAATACCATTTAAAAAACAAAATCAAAAAATTATAACAGAAACATTTTTTGCCCTTGAAGAAAAATTTTTAAAATGACCCTCTATCAGCTTGTTGCAAAATAACTTGGTGACAATTAAACATGGAGTTCATTCTATTGTACTTAGTTGATCAGACTTTATCATTTACTTTTCACATCACCAGCTCTTCTTCAGGATTTAGCATGAAATCAAGGAAGGTCTATGTGTCCATGGATGCTCATGTGAACATGGTATTGAGTATTTATTGGATTTACTTGTGAAAATACATAGCTGTAAACCTGAAGAAAAATACCTTCAAGATCACATAATACCGGATTGTACATTCTCACCAAGACCTTTCTCCACGTGCTGTGCAGTCGTTGGTATTCTTGCAGCTAATAAGTGATTCTAATGCATTTTGTAAGATTCATGTATGATAGGGTGACTATAGGAAGGTTATGCAACAAATATTGAGTATATTTTTCTAACTTTTTATAAAATTATTTGAAAGTTTGAGTGGACATTCATACTTACTACCAATAAAATACCTAAAAAGTATTAGAAAGCTGATAGTCAAATACATACAAATAGATATGTTTGACTCTTACATTTCTCTTACAGTAGCAATATCTCTTATTAGGGATTACATTACCAGATGCATATTTCATATTTCTGACAACCCAAAGGGGGGGGGGGTGTAGAAAGGAAAGTTAAAGACATTTTATACAAAATTAATTATATTTGATTGTCTGAATGTTTTCTTACATGTTGTTTTCTTTGTTTTGTTAACTGAGTTCGGCATAGGTAATAAATTCAGTTGAAAAAATAGAGCTGAATATTGTATTGTCTGCTACAACATACAAGAAAATTGCACATAGTAAAAGTTTTGCACTAATTCAGTCATCAGTTTTAATGGAAAACCGAATCAACCAGTATGCAGATAAGCTCCAGCAGTTTTTAATCTCGATAATACTAAAACACCATCTTGAAAACTAAAGAAACCACAGATTTTTAAGGACTTATATAATGCTTCCATGTAATGTGTTAATTTTACATTTAAAAAATCACATGCAAGTGATACATAAACAACAACTGTTACAATTGGTTATATTCTTATTTAAATGTTTTTCCTCTTACATTGGAGACAACCATTGAAATATTGTGTAAAGGTATATCATTATGCCATTTAGTTACAGCAAGGATGAAACCCCCATTCAAAGTTTTTTTGAAGTAGCAGTACTTGATTATTTTCTTTTACGCTCTCAGTCTTCCATAACATGGTATTACCAAATGATTTTAGTAAATGTTAAAAAAATGCAATGTATATATTCGGCACTTTGACATTAGAAATTTTTGCCATATACCACTTATGGCAATGAGTTGCACAAATAAACGTCTACCACATTAATCAAAATGAAATTATTAATTAAGATTTTTAAAGAGTATGTTTGAGTGGGGGGGGGAACCCTCCGTCTTATGAATATTAAGTTTGGAATGGGTGGAGAGGAATATTCCAAGTTTGCTAGTTTAGTGTAAGGATGAAACCATTTGTATGTGACTGTCGGCATGAGAATACTTTTGTTGTATTCTAATAGTGTGACATGGTTCAGTTTGATTATTCTCAGGATTTAGGCATTTTCACTTCAGACAAACACAATATTAAGTGGAGGGGGGTTGCATAAAAGTTTGTGTGCAATCTCAATCTTATTATCTTTAGCTATGTTACCACTTAAAGTTTTCGGCTTAAATGCTCTACTTTCGCAGACTTATTTTTTTTACAGCTTCAGTTTCTAGGAAAGTATTACCCTTTTATTTTAACACTTATCTAAAATAAATTAACGGAAGTCTTTATTAAAAATAAAGCTGTATACTGCTGCGGTAACAAAATTTGAGAAACTGAAATGTAAGATGTTGATACTTACATGTGAAATGTGTGTTATGTGTGTTGTGTGTGTGGACACATGTATCAGTTTTGTTTCTGCTTTTAAAATAAATTTTACTAATATGTGACCAAAGTATTCAAAAATGTTTCATACAGTTTTGTTTATTAATATGCTCTATAATTATTTACTACAGTAGTTTTTTCAGTAATTTATACTACCTTGACTTTTTATTTGCTCAAGGTGACATTTATGTATAGAATAAAACTAATGCACAGCATCAACATGTTTCCCATATTACCATAAATTTACAATTTTTTGGAAGCAAGTATAGTCATAAATGTTTAATGGCTGCAAGTCTTATTTACATTGCTAAAATGTACAAAACAGAGACCTTATAGACAGAATCTTTGCATATTTTTCAACTGCAATGTGGTCAAATTGAGAATATATTGATAGATTGGCACTAAGTTAGGTATATATGTACACATATAAAGTGCTTTGATAGTCCACTTACTTGACAGGTTATAAATTGCACAGTTGTAAGTTGAGAGGTAATAATTATTGCACAAATTAGATTTCGTCAGGTTCTGATGCTTTTCATTGTCAAGAATATCACTTTCAAAATACATCAGTGCATTCAGCTCAAAGTATTTGTATTTACGAGTGGTAAGAACACAGAAATGTGCTATGTAAGCAGAACATTTTGCATTATCTATGTGCAAGATTTTAAATACATTTTAGACAAAATATTTTAAAGGTAGGTTAAATGTATCTTCTAAGATAAGGAATAGTAATTTTCATGAGCTGAATTAGTGTGAAAGGTAATCGGTGCTTCAAAATATGTCATTCTCATTGTTGTCTTCCTTTTTAGCCAAAACCTAGAATCCACAGAAGGACCTTACTCAGAGATTTAAAGGTTTTAAATAGAAAATAGTAACTATAATTGTATTATTAAAAGTAGGTATATTTGATACCCCTTAGGTTTAGTTTCACGTCTGTGACGTGGTCTGTCCATGTAAATAATGCACAGTGAGGGGCACTCATACTGAGGCGAGAGAAAAGCACTGTGATTTTAGAGGAAGCTGTTTGATAATCTTGTGAGATTTCTATTTAAATTCCACAGTCCTGATGGAGAATTGGAAAGCTTTCAAAGAATTACCTACAAAAGACAGCTGATGCCAGCTTTCTAATGGCCCTCTTGTGAGCCCTGGTTACGAGGATCACGATGGAAGGAGCAAGGCACCCGCAGAGAGCCCTGCCAGGCAAGTGCAACTGGCAATCCTCCAGCACATCCACCACCCCGCTGGCTACCAGTGGGGCTGCGGGAGCCCCTGTGCAACAGGCTTTGAGCCCGTGTTCTCTCTCACTTTCTGGGCTGTGAATTCCATATGAGCTTTATAAAGGCTGTGGTGATTATCCTTTCCCTGAAACTCAAAAGAACCGCAACTCTATCCCCTGGAGGCCCATCTGTCACTTGAAAATGGATTTCTCAGTATTGCTATTTTAGATGATTTTTAAAATAAGACTGCCAGGAGTGGTCTCATGACAATTTTCTTCTCCAGTAGAAACCAGTATATTCCCTGAGAACAGTTACTTTTGGATATAATGATGCCACATTAGAAAAGATTGATGGACAGTAACAAAGCAAGCAGCATAGGTTGTAGGGGTTTTTTTCTTTAAATAACATTCAAATGGTATTTTTTCCACTAAGATATTCTAGTATTTTAGTTGAGAGCTTAGTACTGTAACTTCAGGATGCTACCCACTAACTTTGCCATACTGTCTGTTAGCTTCCTAGCTTCTGGAATTCATTCAACTTGAAGTACTTTACTGTTTTGAACAGAACGTACCCCACAGTGTTTCAATAGATGCATCTGTAAATGGAGTGAGGAACTATATTTTCAAAGTAAGTGTAATTTGAGACATCTTGGGACAGAAGAATCTTTTTCTTGTTTGGTTGGTTTTGTGATGGTTTTTGAGGGTGGTTTGGTGTGGTGGGTTTTCTTTTTTCTATTTTCTCCCCCTACTGTTCACATAAGCTGTATTTTCTTACTTAGGATTGCTCTGTCAACTGCCCTATGGTAACAAAATCTGTGCTTTCCAGAAGATTTTAGGAAAGTGGGCCATGGAATTGTTAGCAATCTATGTATACTCCGCAGTGAATATGAATTTAAAATCACTTCAAATTCTCCTCCTGCTGGGCTAGTGGAAAGATTGAGAGAGAGAAAAGTTGAGTGAGGATGAGTAACAAGAAATTAAGTCCTTGCATCAAGTGGAGTATATGGGTTAAACTTGTGAAGACCAACAAAGCCAGGTGAGCCTGAATAAGCTAGCAGTGCTACTGAAATAATGATTCACTGATAAGCAACTAGATGATAGACTGAAGGACTGAAGTAGAATAGGAGACTTGGGATTTCGAAGTGTATACATACACATAAAAATTTTCTTCAGAAGGTAGTAGATTTTGCAGACCTCAAAGTGATGCTTAGTCAGTCTTCCCACCGTGTTTGCATTTGCTACTGCAAAAAGCAGTGTCCTAAAATTTATCATGTGAAAAATACAGTCTTAAAAAAGTTTCCCAAAAAGTACTACATCCCATTAGTATTAATTTACATGATCTTATAATCTACATATTTTTTATCCTAAAAGTCATGCTGTCCATGACCTTGATCTCCATAAAACCTAGCAAGCTTTTGCAAAGTCTGTCTTAATAGAACAAACAAGGAGAATATTGTTTGCTTGTGTATTTCTAAATTACTGTATAATAATGTGAAGGTGAAGACTCAATTTGTGCTTGCTCGAGGAAACTGTGAACACCTGAAACTAAACAGTGAAATTCACAGTAATGGCCTGTCTTTTCTGTTTGCTAGGCTTGGAGGATGTTGATGTGCTGGTGGTGGTGGTATTTCTGAATATTGACTCACTAATTTTAAGACATTTCATTCATCCTCCACTCTCTGAAAGTATCAGGGGACAATAGGGCATAGCTTGTGTCCTCTTTGCTTTCCTGAATGCAAGGACATACTTAGAAAACACAAGTTTGAAATAAGGTAACTTAGGTTAAAAGGAAATGCATTAGCTTAAGAGAATTGTGGACTGAGGTTATAGTGGAGTTGCAGAGATACAATGGATTTTGCAGAAATGAGATACAGCCTGTGGTTTGTGGTTTAACAGGGCATCCGGGCATGCACATGGTCACTTACCATGGCAAGTGTCGTTGCTTAGGTGACAGAAATGGCATAGTTTTGGATTGCTTTTTATTAAGAAGAACAGTAGCCTGCCTTGCAAAATGTACTGAAGTTAATCCCCCCTAGAGTCAATCCATCTCTTCGGCAGCACATGAGAGAGATACAGGTTCCAGTTGCCTGTATACTGTTTTGTTGCCGTTCGTTTGCTAGTGAACAAACTGTTTAACTGAAGTCCTTTCTTTGCTTCTGATGCATTGCAAATCTTACTCGTTTCAGACACATCAATCAACACTGACGGCACCATCTACAAGTGGAATATAGCCCTAGATTTAGGGGAAGGTGACTCGTTCAGCATACTTTTTTTGTTTTATTGGTGTGGTAAAAGTCAATTATTGTATGTATTTTCTTGTATGTTAGTGGTATTGGCAGAATTACAACCGCAGAGAACTGTACTTTTTATACCAGTCTTGTTCTGTATCTGTTGGTACAACTCATTTATCAAAAAGCCTTTCTGGTTTCCTTTCACATGTGATATGTAGGAGGTCTCCATTTCGCCTACTGGCTCTTTGTCAGGATCCCAACTGAAATAAGAGTAAATAAGGTTTCAAGTTTGATGGTAATTTGCATGAGGTTTGCATAAATGTTCTTAGTCTTCATTAGTTGGTGCCCGAAACTCAAAATCTGTACGATAGCACTCCTGCCTTTACCTTTGCACCCTCTTCCAGTCTGGATTTCAGAGGCCGGTTTCAGCGCGCAGAAGCTGCGTGGGCAGACTTTAATCGAAACTACTGTTAAACAAACTTGCTGTTTCCGCAGGGGTTGCTCTTACTGAAGGAGTCAGCAAATGCTGATGGACAAGTGAGCATCTGAGCAAGGGAGGGTACGTGGCAACTTTGTTTTGCCAGGCCATGAGGATTGCAGCAGGAGATGGCCAACAGAGCAAGATGCCCTTTCTCACAGGAGGAGCTTGCAGGACTCGGCGGTTCTGTTCAGACGAAGCGATCAGAGGAGGAACTGCCCGAGTGTGTTGGCAGCCTCAGACTGGAGCGCTGCTAAAACAGTTACAGCTGGCAAACTGGTGTCTGCTGGTTCTCCTGGTTACCGTTCCCAGAGAATGGGTTACCTGGAAACGTGTGTATGACATTTGTGTGAATAAGTCATACGTTTCTATCCTTTTTTTTTTTTTTTTCTCCAGTAGCTGCAGGTTATGCTAGAGCCGATTTCCAGTGTGGTTTAGAGGAGGCTGTTGAGCAGCTGAATAGCAGCTGCAAAGTCTGCATAAGCCGGGACCAGCCAGGCGTTAAGGACTGGTGAAGAGCGCTTGGGTCTGGTGGCGGCGGCGGCGTGGATGGCGGCAGCACCTGGAGCGGGCTCTGGATGAGCGTCAGGGTTGTAAATGGATTAACGGAGGGTCCGGTTGCCGGCTAGTCCTGGTTTATCTCCTGGAGAGGCAGAGGAGACTGGAGGACAGTACAGCCTCCCACGGTAAAAAAAAGAAGACCACAACGAAGCCCAGAATCAAAGAACCCACCCGAACCACCTCAGCCCCCCCGCCGGGACCCACGGGACACCCCCCTCAGCCA